ATAAGTTTATAATATTTGACTTAAAATTAACTTCATATAATTATTCTATTTATTTCAAGGTTCAATTACGAATTAAATTCCAACACTTTGCAATTTCGTACAATTTCGTTGGCGAAATCTTGAGTTTCCCATTTATTCGCTAAATATAAATCCTTTTGATGTGCGCTTGTTATTTCGTTATTTGCACGGCTCGTCAGTGCAATTTCAGTGAACGTAAACGTAAATTCTAACGCAAAATTCAACAAAGTTGAAAATTTTGGTTTTATGTTTATTTTAAATTATACATTTTACGTCAAAATATTACCAATTATTTTGTAATTTATTACCGAAAATATTAAGTATTAGCTTTTGCCCGCGACTTCGTCCCGGTAGGGTTTAATAAAAATGTAATTCGTTTTTACTCTCTTGATCTAGACATAGTATGTGCCAATTCAATCAATAAGATTCGCCATTTTATTATAAAGAAATTAATTATATAAAGAATTGCTAATAATGCACTTCAGCGCGCCATCTCGGATTCAACTATTTAACTATAACTATGATTGAATCTCAATGCTAACTTTTATCCTACCGAAAAGGACTGTCTTTAGGGTTTTCCCGGTAATTATTCGAATTTGTCTCGCCGTAAAAACCATCCTTGGACTATAACAAACATTTAAAAAACAAGAATTGGTCAAATTGGTCCAGGCGTTGTTGAGTTATACGCTTACCAACAGATTTTGCGATTCATTTGTGTATTATACATATTAATTTTTATACAAAATACTGAGTTATTTTTAGTTTTACTGTTTAATTTCGTGATTGTTCATAATCATGATAATATTGTTTAGCTTGTGACGGTCATGATGTTCATGATAGCAATGGTTCGCGTGCTGAATAGATTTCGGCGATTTCCACGCAGAGATACGCGTTAAATTGTGGCAAAGAGCAAAAAGCCGAACAATCGATGTTCACGCACGATCGCCTTCAATGGCGGCGGCCGACGGCTATCACAAAACTGTACAAAACCAATCCAAACGGAAAATCATCAAAAATCGATGCAAAAAACAGCAAACAAAGCAAATTTTTATTTATGTTGCTACATATTCACTTTTCGATTTGAATTTTTATTGCCGCTTTAAATCTGTAGTGTTGAATGCGCCTACCACTAACAGGAAGTCAAATTAAATACATTTTAATTTCCCCATGCGGGTTTATTTACCAAAACAGATTGTTTACAAAACTAAATTGGAATAAATATTTCGGTGTATATCTTGTGTCGAAAACAAATGTTGTAATATAACTATTATGCAAATACTTTATCATAACATTAGTTCTGCTAGTGTTTCTGTCGTGTTTTTATTTTTTTAGTATTTCATGAATTCATCTCCCTAGAGCTTTTCATACATTTTCGAAGTTCGTGTACCTACTCCGAAACATATATGTTGGCACATCGCATGTGTTACTACCCGGCATGCTCGCATTAAATGTGCTCACGAAACTGAATGTTTTATAACTATAGTCGCACCGTATCTACAAATGTATCATTTTTATTTCTATCTCATTTTTTTCTTTTTCTCTTCTTTTTCTTCTTGTACTCGTATTCTTCCAGTATATACTCGTATACTGCGGGTATTATTGTAGTCTTAACTATGTGTCATGTTCTCATGTGTACTTTGTATGTATATAGCTACTTTCCATGTACTTTACGAAGAGTTTACTAATGTGCAATTGTGCAAATGGTTTGTTTGCTCGCGCACACTCATATTCACACTCGTAACCATATTCAGCAGACAGTTAACATAAGATAAGTGTTAATATATTGCATATTTTATATCAAGTATCACAAAAAGTGATTTTTCAGTAAATTTTCACCCTTAAAACTGAAAATTAAAAAATAAAAGTTTTGAACTTTTTTTGTTAAAACTTTATTTCGTGTATATCTGTTATTTGTGCGCGAATGGCTTATCGATTGATTGATCACACTCGATTTTTCATTATTACGTTTTCTGCTTTTACTAAACTCTCCTCTTGCATTTATCTACATTTGTTACAAATACGTGCCACACTCACACCTATAAAGCACACTGCGCACAGTAGATAAATGGAAAATCAACCGAAAGCCCCGAAGGAAAAACACCCACATCAGGCGCAACGAGCGTCACAACAAACAGCTACCTGAATAAATACACTGTGACGTAGGTACTTTCTGTACATTAGATACAACACTATCATTACACTGGTCATTTCGAACTATTTTCAGGCGTAGTTTTCGTTTACAAACGTTATTGATAACGTCACAAAAAATAACGCACAAAAAACTATTAACATGTACGCGTAAGTGCGGAGATATAGACAAAACACAAAAAACATGAACCGAGACAGAAGCCAAACAGAAAATTGAACAAACAACATTACAAATGATATTTTATTCCATTGTTGTATTTTTCAATTTCGAGCGTTTCGATTTTCTTTCTAGACAATATTTCAATTCGGACTTTTGATTTCTGTGTTCTATTTACAACGGAAAAAATAGTAATACTACATCTATAATATAAAAATGAATCGCAAAATCTGTTGGTAAGCGTATAACTCAACAACGCATAGACCAATTTGGCCAATTCTTTTTTTAAATGTTCGTTAAAGTACAAGGATGGTTTTTACGGCGAGAAAAATTCGAATAATTTCCGGGAAAACCTTAAAGACAGCCCTTTTCTATAGGAAAAAAGTTGGCATTAAGATTCAATCATAGTTATAGCTAAATAGTTGAATCCGAGATGGCGCGCTGAAGTGCATTATTAGCAATTCTTTATATAATTAATTTCTTTAAAATAAAATTGCAAATCTTATTGATAGAATTGACACATACTATGTCTAGAACAAAAGAGTAAAAACAAATTACATTTTTATTAAACACTACCGGGCCAAAGTCGCGGGGAAAAAACCAGTACTATATAAAACATAAATTATTCAGTCCAGTGAATTCATTCAAAACTACAATAGATTCATTTAAAGAATTGAAAGGGTTAGAAAAAGCGATAAAATCTTCAAATTAAAGTGGAAAAAGATGTTTTGCATTTTCTGAATGAATTTTTCTCCCTAACTCTTTCCGTTCTTCTGTATATTTTATTTTTTCAACACTCTCCCAATGGATTTTATTCGTTCCTTTTTGCATTACAAAAACGACTCTTCTATAGATGATTTTACATTATACCACATCGTATATTGAAATATTCCAACACATGGGAACTATCACTGCTTTCCATGGACAATTTACCGTACAGTCAAAAAAACCAAAAATCACGATCTGAATGAACGAAACGAGGCGAACGCACTGTAACCCGGCGCACGAATGAAGTGAATAAACTGTACCGACGGAATTTTCCACGTTTTTCCACGAATTCCCATGATTTCAACATTCGACACTCCGCACATGACTATATTAAACATTAAATCTACACACGAAAAAATCTACTCGACGGAATGAAAGATTTCCACCAAGTAAAAAATTTGATGCAAAACTTCAACTTTTAGTTGAGTTCAATTTCAATTTCAAGTATACTACGAGTATTGAATGATAAAAAATGGTACTTGGGTGCAGATTCTGTATTCAACTGCAGATTTTCATCGCGGATAATTTCAGCAATTGAGTCGTAAACCCAGGAGAGCAGGACGAAAAAAATAAAACGGAAAATTTTATTTCGTTGAGTGCTCACAGCAGTGACAATTGAAGACAATGTATGTTGAATACATTCTAGTGGTAATAAAAAGTAACTACTACAAAATCCTAACAAAAAAAGAGAAGAGAAATTACTTATTAAATGCAAATTATTAGTTTAAAAGTTTCCGCACAAAGTTTTCAACCATTAAGTAAATTAAACTCGTTGAAATACTTGAATGATTTTAATTTAATTTTCTGCATCCTTTCAAATACTTTCGATGCATTCAGATATAATTTCAGCGGGCGGAGAGAATCATTTTTTACAAGTCTAGAACAATTTGTTTTAATTGAAACCTTCTAACTAATATTTCATCGAATGGTAGTAATCCATCTAATTCGAACGAAATAGAAGAATTCGTTTTCTGCTCAACTAGTACTTGATTTTTTTGTTTTGTGCTAGATTGTGAATCGTAGATGTGAGATTGATTGATAGGCGCGATTGATATACGACTTCAGAGATATAATCATGGTCTGAGAAGTAAAAACCATCGTCTAAATCTAGTGTCTAGACTAGAATCAAATACATTCATTTATTTTTATAGTTTCTGCATGAATAAAACATCAAAAGCGTTAGAAATTGATTCAAATCATTGAAATTTGTTTTGCTCACAAATTGTTTTAAAATTCGGGCGGATATCGAGTGTAATAACAAATTGATTGTTATTACAGTTGGATAGTGGGTAGTTATATTCATTACGTAGTATCGAATTGTGTTTTACGTATTTTATGAAACGTATTGGCGCAATCGACGTTTCGATATCGAGCTTCCCGGCTGATTGTTGAATAATTGAACACGCGGCCAGTTCATGACACTTCGTATCGAAATAACGGAAATATACACTCACACTGGACCATGTACTATAAAATTGAAATAACTATTTTCAGGAATTCGATTAATAAAAATCGTTTCATTACAACTATCCATTACAGAAAAAAAATTTAAAATTTAAAGCTGTATTGTGCCGGAAATAATTTTTTCCCTTTTTTTGTTTTACGAGTGGAACACTAAAAATAGTCAATAGAAAAATCATCCATCAAACTGTCAATTCCGTGCGCTTTCTATCAAATACACGTTTGAATTAGAATCGTATTTACTAAGAGTCAGCAAACGTTGCAAGTCAGTTCGGTATAATTAAATTTTCGAATAACTAACGCATCTAATCTGTTGTTTCTAGCTTACTTGATTGTAATATGTATAATATAATAGGAAATAATTAATATTTAATTTTTGCTTGATATTGATTAGTGTAAATGATTGAAGAGGAATAATTAATTTGCTTTGTGTCGTGATGTGTTGCAGGTCGCACGCTGGGGGGCCCGAATCCGGAGCCAGAGTACGCCCGGAGCCGCGCCCGGTCCACCGACGGCCCGCAGCGACCGCCGCCACCATCGGCGGCGCGGCCACGAGCCAACACCGCCGCCGCCGCCGGTGCCGCTACTCCGCGCCCCCTCTTCGACGGATATGTGCACGCCGGTATACCGATCATGTAAATCCTCCTTTGCACCTTAATCTGTACATGCCAGCACACTCACACCACACACGCCACTCACACATACTCCATCTAGTGTAAAGTAGCTCATAAGTAGGCAACACATTCTACACTTAAATTATATTATTATAAAAAGTAATAATAACTAAAAGGGTAGTGATAAAATTACTAATAGAGGCAATAATGAGATGATTTAGAAGACGATTAAGGATAGTAAAAGCCGATAAAGGACAATAAAGGACAATGGGCGCAATAATACGCCAGTGTTAATCCCTTTACGAGTAATGCGCACAAACAGAATTATGCCGGTCGGCTTACTGGTGTCAATGCCAGCATGTCACCAATGTCAACACTTTCAAGCGAAAAATCGCAAATCACAAGCGAATAATACAAATATGAAAGAAGTAAGTTAATCCTGCGGGTTTGAAATTCAATTATTATATTTCTCAGCGTTTATAAGACTTCAGTTTATGTAAGTATAATAATTTTATCAATTCCACAACATTATATCACAATAAAAAAATAAATAATAAAAATTTTAATGAAACGTGAGTAAAAAACAATTTTTTATTTTATTTTTTAAATAAAAATTTAAAAGTGTAAAAGTGAAATTAATAAAATAACCGGAAAGTAACAAATCAATAAGTCGCTATGCAATGATGTGGCGGTGAATAATACATTATTACACGTACTTTTACTCGTCCTGTTTATGCCGCCGCCGGTCGACGAACGTAGGAGCGTTGAGACGGCGCGCAACGACACACTTCGATCATAAATAATTAAACGTTCCGCGAAACGACGCAACGAACCGTAGAACAAAGTTGCAATTCAGCCGGCGCCTCCACCAACGTTTGCCAATTGTCAGCGCAGAGTACACACAACGCTCATAACTGAATAAATTTAGAACTGTGATGGTCGATTTCCCGCGTAAACTTTTAGAAAGTCAATAAATTTATACAAATAAATATCATGTTTCTGAATCTCTATTAATTATAATAATAAATAGTGCGGTTAAAAAATAAAAAATCAAGATACACTAAACAAAATGAGAGCAACTAAAACAAATGATGAAAAGTGTGCCATTCATTTTCGTTATTTTTCGTTATTTGTCTAGTTCTTTTTTATCCCACAAGCCTCGAGCGTGCGGGCATGCGAACGTTTTCTTTTCCTTTCAAGAAGAGCTAAAAAAACTTAACCCTCTGAAGAACCGCAGCATCTCCCATCAGATTCCTACTAGAAAGGTAGTGGAACGAAATGATGGAAAGTGGAATAAAGTGCTTTTTTAGTATGAGGCTAAATTTGCGTGATAGCGCTACAGAACGGCCTTGGAACATGGAAGTAATGAAGTACTTACCACTTACTTTACCGCAGTGCATAAGACTAAGTAAATAGTGGTTTACAAAATCAAATTTTCACAAAATAAAATTCTAAAAGCACAAAAATAATACCTTTATTTCCCGAACTACCAAACCACAAGTATATGTAATAATTTATTACCAATTTCCGATTTCCGGCTACAGCCGAACGATAGCAATCGATCTTTAGTTTCCGAAATGGTGGAGGCGCCGGTCAAAAAGTTCATTTTAGTCCCTCTCTTGTTCTATCCTATTATAATCTTACACCTACGAGTAGATGATAGTAGGTATCTATTTTTTATGTTGTGCGTGATCGTCCTAAATAAAAAGCGTATCTTAAGCCTACTCAGAAAAAAATATGAGTAGGGCGCTCCGCACGTCAGACACATTCATGGAACCACGTTCCTTTCTTGCGGTTATCCGTCTCATCCTTGTAGCGAGCTATCTTCAAAGCAAGTTCAAAGTTGAGTGATAAATATGTTTGAATATCAAGATAATATATTGCAGGCACAATATCCGGGAAGAAATATTGACAGCTTAATAAAAGATAATAAATATTCCTTAATATCGCAATAAATTTATTACTTTGCAGTAATTCTAAAAAGGTTTCCGAAAGATATCAAATTTTAATATCATGGATATTTATTTTGACAGGTATATTGAGATTTATTTCGGTGGAAAATAAATCGAAAATGCTATAGGTATGAAGGAACTATGTTTTGTTAGTGAAATCTTGATCGTACATTGTCCTTCGGATATAATTAAAGTTAATAACGAGCGAGCGCTGGTGTTAATAGGACAACTTTGTAATTTCATTACGATAACTAACATGAGAAATTAGTTTGTAATTGTGTTTAAGACACAAGAAGATAAGTGCAAGTAAAATAGGAAATTGTTTAGCAATTTATTTATTTTTTGAAATTAGTGATTGTTTAATGCACTAAACTTATAATTAACTAGGTTTTGCCCGCGACTTCGTCCCGGTAGTGTTTAATAAAAATGTAATTCGTTTTTACTCTCTTATTCTAAACTTAGTATGTGCCATTTCTATCAATAAGCGTCGCAATTTTATTTGAAAGAAATTAATTATATAAAGAATTGCTAATAATGCACTTCAGCGCGCCATCTCGGATTCAACTATTTAACTATAACTATGATTGAATCTCAATACCAACTTTTATCCCATAGAAAAAGTCTGTCTTTAGGGGTTTCTCGGCAATTATTCGAATTTTTCGTGCCGTAAAAACCAGCCTTAGACTTTAACGAACATTTAAAAAAAGAATTGGCCAAATTGGTCCAGGCGTTGTTGAGTTATGCGTTTACCAACAGATTTTGCAATTTATTTTTATATTATAGATTATTTTCTGATTTTTTTTCTTTGAATTTATCATTTTTATTATATAAAACTTGGAAAAAAATCGATAAAAATTTAATTTAAATATAATTAGCGGCTCTCGTGTTAGGATATGATGAAAAGTTTGCTGAAAAGTAAAAGTAGCTTTACTTCATTAGCATACTTTGCTTGTTATCAACGTCCTTTCAACTCTTTTCACTGCTTTCCAACTCTTGAACCCCTTTAAAAATGTTTCACCAATTATTATTCCTCAGACACTTTCTAACTTTCAAAAAATGATAAATCTATTTACTGCATAATTAATAAATGTTGATTTGTCACGTTCCGCTGGCACTTCATTCCTGAACTTTTTAATCAAATCCTTAGAACATTAGATAACAGATTTAATTATCAAGAATAAAGCTGACTTATTCTCACTTCTATGCTTTACGTTAATTATTTTCGCTTTTCATGAAATATTTCTGGACTTTTGTATGAAAGAAAAAATAAAGATTATGAAAGCCATTCCTGATTGTCGCGTCCTTCGTGCGTCGCGTGTCTTTTGCGCCTCTCGTGACTGGCGTGCCTGTCGCAATTTGTTTAGTCTCTCAAATACCCAAAAATCACTAAAAACAGAAAGCTAGAGTTGTGAAAAATACGAGCGACGATGTTCACTCCGCACATTCTTCAGACTTTTCACACTGATGACTGTCTTTTTATACGCCTTTTTTCTTTTCATCTGTTTCGTCATTTTACATTTTTCTTATCTTATTTATCCTGTTCAGAACTTGATTTTTTCTTGGACTCGAGGCTAAGAAGTCAGAAATGAGTGCCTCGGCTTTAGTAGCTTGTTCAGTATCATTAGTCTGCGCTGATTTGATAAGAAAGTAACTCGAAGAAGATGAAAGCAGAATACAAAACGTAAAAATAAAACAACACAGCGCAAACTAACCTTGTTAAAAGTACAGCGTCTTTAAAATATTCCCAACATTTTTACGCGCGTGTTTCTAACTCGCCTAATTCGTATGTTTACCAACTCGTAAAAAGTTTAATTTATGCGCGAAACTTTAAATCTCACCTGAGAGGATTTAACGTGTCTGATTTCATGGATGTGAAATAATCGTCAAGGAAAATAAAGAGTCCGCCAGGCGGAAACGTCACCGGAAACGGAAGAGTGCGCCATTGTCGCATCGCGTCACCGTAGCACGCGGTCGATGTCAACGTCGCGGTTTGCGGATGTATAATTCCGGCGCGCGCCCGAAGAATTACGTTGAATTATGCACCGCGTCGCAGAATGGGCCAAAAACAGGACGAAGCGGGGTGTGAGATAGAATGCGCCAGGACGACGTCCACATCAACTATTCTACGCTTGACGCATTTTCTCCGCGTTTGCAGTAAAATATTAAAACGGGGCTCGTGAATAAAATAAAATAAAAAAATCTAAAAAAAAAACAGTTAATAAAAATTGTTTTTGGCACTATTCTTATCCATCGTATAAATAACATATGATTTTATTGCAATGCGCACTGCGTAATATTTTTTCCAGATATCAAATTTAATAAAACCTAATAAAATTCGACACGTTGTGAATCGCATAAAACGCAAGCAGACAAATCGAATATAAGCCAATAAAAAAGGTTATGCGTGCGTGTCTTCGACCCTCAAACAAAAAGCAAGCAAGCAAAAGAAAAAAAGGTGTAAATTCAAAGAATTGTGTGCGTTGTGCATTGAACCAAAAAGTGTGAATTGTGCGTCAACACTTTTACCCTTAACTCAAAAAACAACCTCTATGCTAAGGGTTGCCTTTATCTGCATCCCTCATCCGATATATGGCATCCTGATCACGTCAAACATTACAATAAAGATAAAAGTTACCCAAAGTCTAAAAAAAGCATATCAAATGAGATACACACACACGTAGAATTATTTTTTCTTCAATAAAAAGATTTAAAATTAACCCTAATCATTAAATAATGTAATTTTTTTTATTTTTGCATTTCTGTGACCTTGTTTTGACCTCTGTGAATTGTGTAAGTTATATTGGGCAATATTGGCCTAAAATCTTTCACTCATTGAATCATTGGATTACATCGTGGTGTTGTTTGTTTGTTTCAGAGTGGGAGGTGGGCCACGGCGGCTCCTCCACCGGCATGGAGGTGGAAGTCCGTGAGGAGATCCTGCCCGCGGACTCCACCGCACTACTGGCCAACAATACATCGCATGCGATGTCCGGTAAGCTCCTGACAGCCCCACCCTAACCACAATCCTAGGTACTTTGGTAAACAGCTTGACAGTAAACCAATAAGTACCAATAGAGACTAACAACAATCAAACAACAAATTGTATTCTATAAAACATTTCCTACACTTTTATAGCTCTAAACATGCTGAGGAAACAAAAACACAAAAATAAAACAATGATTGCGCACCGGTCTAGAATATCAAGTTCAAAACTCTGCTGAAGTGTATAAATGTTTACGATGTCCTCGAGGAAAGCCTGCAGATTCTGCAGTTTTTCGAATTGCAACACTTTTCCGTCTGCACTTCCGCATTTCCTGTTTGCACAACTCAATCATAGCTATATTATATTTCCCGTTGCAGTTTTTAGTAGGTATTCTTTTGAATTCAACTACACAATACTGCAATATGACATCCAATCAATTGTTGTCTAAATTTAAACTTACAAATATTTATTGGTAGAATGAACAGGAAGAGTGTGACACAAGTACATCTTATCTTTTTCTTCATCCGAAATTTTACTCGAGCGAAAAATATAAGAACAACCAGGATGCTATCTGCTATCGTAAGGCAATGGGAGGCAATCACAATCTAGGTCAACGGGACGCCTTCACAAGTCTTCCACTTCCTGCATCTGCTATGCTCCATCTTATTTCCACCTTGATATAACACATCCTTCCTAGATCACTCTATTACTCCTTCTGTGCGCTTGTTCTTCTTTGTCGTACTGATCCTGCGCCATACACTCGTATTTTATGGCTCTTTTACCGTCGCACGATGAATTGCCTTGCATTTATACAGAGTGTTTTATTTTATTTTAATTTCCGTATATTTTAATACAAATAATGTAAAATACTAAAAATAAAATTTAAACACATTGTATATTCATGTGTATAAGTCTCATTTGCGCTTTTCTGGACGTGCTGATAAATTTTAACTTTGAACTTTCAACAACTGCATCTTGAGATATTGCAGTCGCTTGCAGTTTTCTTTATATTGAGAATTTTCACGCTCAACAAATTGGATTGGCGTGACTTATCAAGCATCATCTTAATTGCGTCGGCATTTACTCAACCGGATTTATTTCGAGATACTGTATATTATTATTTGATTTCAATTATAGCGATTACAATGTGAACAATGCACAATAGTAGATATGAAAGGTTTTCGCTACAAATTGAATCCTGAGATTACGAAAACTTCAACAAAGTCTAAGACATGTTCGAGAACCTGCTGGAACATTCTATGACGAGTTTTACAATTGTCCAAGTCTCATCTCGCGGAAACATGGATAATTTGCTGGAAGCCGAAAGCAAAGTTTACTTTTGATGGATAGAACGAGAAATGCACGAAGACTCGTCGACGAGGATGCAGTTTGTCCCGAAACTATCCAAAGGAACATCGTCAATTCCAAGAAAAGAAAAGAATTGCAAACACCAACGTAATTGAAACAGAACAATTTAAATTACGACAGCGTTAAACTGTTCGTAAACTTACAAAAGCACCACTTATACAGACTGAAAACATTAACATTAACTGATAAGAATAACTACTTTACTACCTAACTTTACATTATTTTAATTTTTATAGTTATGACTTTTAGTTCCGGTTTTTATTTCCGCTTCACGTTTATTACCTATACCTACAATGTTTGTTGTTGTGAAATTATTCGCTTGGTGACATTCATCGTCCGAATTAGACAACACATCACCCCTTGCTGCGTCCGCCATTCATGATCGTGAATTTACTTCCGGCCATCCTGTCCCGTCCCGTCGGCGTCCGAAAGCGGTGGATGATTAACGAACCGCGCCGGCTCGCTGGCAAATTGGAATTAAAATCCCGCACGATCCTAACTCACACCACCACCATCACAACCCTATTCTATCCAGTTGAACTGGAGAAGGGTGGTGGATGGTGGGTAAGCAGTGGACGGTTAAAACTCGTTATTGGATTTCGGCTTTCCGTTTTCTCTGTCTAAAATCTACATTGTGTTAATGCAATTTTCCATTAAAAAATAAAAAAAACAAAAAATTAACTAAAAATGCCAGCAATATTTCTTCCTAAATTCATATAAATTCCAGTAGGGAATTTTTAACTCTATGAATATTTTTTTACACACTGTATATCAGCTAGCAGAAAATAAGCTGTCATAGCTTTAATTACACACGAAATTGAAGATGGCGATGGTGATGATGACAACGTGGTCGGTCACTTATCATCACAACCTAACAAACACATTCCGACTGCACTAAATTAGACGATTTAGATAATATAAATCTCAGTGTTTGTTTCCACTTTCCATTCCATTGTTTATTTCGTCCGGCCGTAATTGTAACCCGAGATTAAATCGAATTGCACGCGAATTGTTTACTCTTATCCGGCGGGTCCCCTCGTTGACCATTCAATTCCAAATACGACCCGATTTAGATTTTCACTTTTAATACGAAAATTAACATTCTCATCACGTTTCCATGGATAAAATTTCCAGCAATCTAAACCTATTCAAACTTGACCCTTTGTTAATTTGAAAAATAAAAGAATATATGTTATTTTTGTAATTTTTTGTATTTCCAGATGGGCCAGTGGTGATTGTGCGTGCCGAAGAGGTGTTGCTCGTGGTCCTGGTATTAATCCTGTGGGTCGCCGCCATTGCGCTCTTCATCAATCGTTGGGGCAAGATTCGAATGCTGGAGCCGTATCAACCAAAGTTCCAGAGCCAAAACCATCGACCGTCCTGTCCACTAGCGCCGTTATCACCGCCTCATATCACTCCTCAGGTAATTATTACGTTTTAAATTCAGGAATACTTGAAAAAATAAATTTAAGAAATTAAATTCAAGTACATTTAATTATTTAAAGTAGTAGGTATTTATTACTCTGAAAATATCCTGCACCCTTGAGGATTATTTTTAAAACCGGTATTTTTATTTTTATTCTCTGCGGCGTCGATTGGTCACGATTTTACCTATCGATTTCTCGATTAAACAAATGTAGTAAGAAGTTTATGTCCTGGTTGGGAGTGACCACAACACAATTATGAGCACGCCGGCACCACGTCGATATTTTTAATTTATGTAAATTCGTGTCTGCGGAGCGTTTAAATATTGAGCCGCTTGGCTGTTTCCTAGACACGTGTCGTCGATTTAATGGATTAGGGTTGAAAAAACGTCATGATGCCATATTTAACGCAAGGTTTTTAGAATATTATTAAAAAATAAACACAAACCTGATTACGAGTATTTAACGTGTTTCATGCATTCAAAATCCTATTCACTTTAATCATTCATCTTTCTAGAAACTTACTCTGCATTCACGCACACGTAGACCCGACTTTTGTGGCTTTAAACTTTGTTGATGGTCGTAATTTGCTTGATTATAGTCTCCTGAGTTGCTTTGACTCTGCTCTGTTCAACTTTCCAGCCTCGCAATCTGCAAAATAGGCAAACACTCCGTAAACCGCTTGACCTCACCGCCGCGTCACCGAGAAATTACACCGCCAATTGTCGGAAGTTGCGCAAACAACTCGGTGCACTGAGCGAGAGATAAACGCGTTTTAATTTCGCTCCGGGGACGTGCTGCGACGTGCAAATTAACTTTTCACAATGCTAGGGAGACAAACAAAACAATAACAACCACGCCATCTAACGGCCATAAATATAACTTCGAGTAGTGCAGAGAGAGTTGAATCGAGTTTAAAACGCTTTTCAAATAATTCTAATCACGTTCTCAACTTTGTTTCAGCAGAGGATGTCCTTCTCGAAATACAACGTGAATTGCTTCGGTGATTATTCCGGACTACCGTCGCCGAACTCAATGCGCCGCCCGCGACTCAATTCCGTCTTCGTGGGCAGTTCAACAATGGCGTTCATGAATCCACCGCGACGCGTCAAGAGCGCCATCGATATTCAACACCTTGTACTATCATCAGATCGTACGCCTGCCTACCGCTCCATGCTGCCGATGATCAGCTATCGTGAGCGTAAGCCCTCCATCACCGTCGACCGCCCGTATTGCCACTCGTCCACCATCTCAACCGCCTCCAAGCATCACCATCGCCCATCACTGGCATCCGATCGGCCTCTACTGTCGCACTATCAACAATTTCGCACGCGGCGATCATCGTGCGCCGTTGATACGCGCCATCGGAACTTTATCAGTTTCGACCAACCGAGGCGCAAAGCGTCCATGGCTATCGAGCGGCCATCTTGCAGTTATCAAGGCCCGATGATCAGCTTCGAATCTTCCACACCAGGCGGCAGCATTGATCATCCCAGCGTGGTAGTCAACCGCCCGAAATACAGTCGTAGCTTTGAACAACCAACAGATTTCAAAACACTACCGCCCCCTAGAATGGCGGCAAGTTTAGATGTCAATGCAGCAAGTTTTGATCGACGTACATCTATCCCCGAAGAAGATGTCGAAGTAGAAGCTATCGAAAGCGCTGAGATGAGTGAGATGACCAGTGCGCTTGCGCAGAAGAATCAAGAGATTCGTAAAAGTTCATCTGTCATTGTAATGTTCGACGAGGCTGACGTCACCGCCAATGCGCCGCTGCTCGAACGACTGAAAAGCTCCGACGTGTGATAATTACTGACGGCTTTTGTTTTCCCCCGCCATTTTGTCCAACATATAGTAACAAGTTCATATCGAAAACGAGTATATATCACCTAACCTAACATTTTTCACGATATGAGAAACAGGTAAAATTATCACACTACTTTATCACGATTTCAAGATGGCGCGTGTGAAGTAGTGTACACGATTTTGTATACACAATAACAACAACAAATGTTTATAATAGATATAAATATAATCTTGATGATTTCTCCATTAGAAACAAGGTTTGCGTCGTGAATCATCCACTTTTATATCACTGATACACTTAGAGGTTAACTGTTGATGATTCAATGGCAATTCGGCGAACCTTTCGATTGCAACGGTGCTTTATATGTAAATAATCGTCGTGAAATATGAATAACATTAGTTCTTGTTTTACATTCAGAGTTTATTACAGAGTAATAGATGGCGTAAGTGGTGCGTCTTGATTGTAGTTAACATAACATAACCTAACGTATCAACCATTTAAAACTTGTTATGTTAAATTAAGAGTATATATCACTTCGTATCACATCGAAACCACTACACTTAAATTACAGGGCCATATTGAATAAATTCTCAAATTTAAACATAAAAATTTTCACTTTGATTATTGTTAGATTTACAGAGCTCGTTAATATTTTCAAAGTAAGTGTGATTTTACTATTATTTTACTATTTTGTATTGCTCATATTTATGCAATGTAGGCAACCCAAATAACACATTAGCACAGCGTATACTAGTGAATTTAATATTTTACGTTCACATTTCACTAAAAATAACAAAATAGGTTTTTTAAAACCAGAAGTGTTGTTTGGTGTATGATATGTTGCCTATAGTCTAGATTTTTTTATTTAATTTTATGAATAGATAGAATATTATGTTCCGCAAATTCCATCCGAGTCGTACAACAAAAAACATAAAACGAAACTAACATATACATAACCATTACTAACCAACAAGCCAACTTCTCCTATAAACAAATATCTAAAACTATGAATAATACCTACGCATATATAAACCTAACCTAAACAAGCAAATACTATATATTTCGAGTTAGATCCTAGCAGATGAGATAATTTTTTACTCGTAACTCTTACAACTAAACCTATAACTCAATAAAAATAAATAATAACTTGTAGAGTGTTGAAAAGTTGAAACTTGTGAAACAATTATATGAATATCTTGAAAAACAAATAACAATATCTATATATGTACTACACTACATATGAAAAATTATAGTATTGTGATATATTTATAAAACTCCATTAATACAGGCAGTTTTAATGATTAACAATAAATTATTATTGTCAATAATTAACACCCTGGGCATACAATTACCAAATACCAATTACCAACTTGTATAGGACCAAAACAAAACTTTACTAAATATTAATAAACATATTACTAACAAATTAATAATAAAAATAAGAAATATTCTAGAAAAAAATGTTTGATGATTTGAATTTTATTAATATACAGTTTGTTTATTGTAAAATTAATGTAAAACATTGTATGTACGATGAAAAGCTTTAAATTGCTTTAAATTTAAATAAATGTTTTCCTATTATACATATAGTATATTAAGTAACAAGTGGGCAAACGGGGACTTTACTCACGAGATTGATTAATCGAGTGTTTAATAACGTTTAGCCACGAGGTGCTTACGCAATTTTTGCTACTTCCACTCTTGTTACACGTTACGGTTTTTGTATTTCAACTATTCAATTTTAAATCATCGAAATTTGCTCGCACACTTATACAAACTCCGATGCGAGCAGCAGCAGCGCCTGCTTTGACGTATTTCACTGACGTCGCATGGCATTTCATACCGCCTTGAGCTGCTCCGTAGTCAAATGCGCAGGCTCTTGCTCCGTTCCGTGCATAATACAAGTACATAATGAATATTATGTACGGCGTGGCCGTCCGTATATTAAGTACCACTTTTTGTGTCTAAAAACCGTGGAAAAACTGGCGCTTTATAGGTGGAAGTAGAAAAAAAATCTTATACACACCCTCGATTCGTAATTCGTAATATTGCACTGTGCTGCGCTTGTAATTATATGCATTGAATCATTAACCCAGCCATTTCCCATCTCGCTGGCTATCCAATCAAATAATTCCATTACACTGACTAGCGGATAACTACCGGCTTATACGTTATTACCCTGTAATCTATGGTTCATCCAGATCAAGGCAACCAACATCGCAAAGTCCATAAAGTTTACTCACGCCTACTTACACCGAGATGGCGCTACTCGCAAATTAAAGGTTATTAACAGCATAGTGCATTGAGCAATAAAGCGGTGACAGTCAAAGCTCCTGCTAATAGTTGAACGAAGCATTGTCCACCGCATTGACGATCCAATCAAATAATTCCATTACGGAATATTACGGTTTACAGTTCAGTTGAAGTGAATCCGTTCAAACGACGGCGCGACGCAAGCACAAGAACCGAAAGTAAAACAGTGAAAAATTGAAAGTAAATTTAAAAGTAAATTTAAAAGTAAACATTTTGTTCAAATACAATATTTGTTTTAATACAATTAGTGTTTAAGCATTTAACGTTGTTACTAAATCATTATTTATCAATTAATTTTTTTACAATTTAATTAATGTGATTTTACGAAATTTTTATTATTTCTACCGGAGGTAAGTAAAAATAACGATAATTAATCAATAATAAATGGTTTATTGGCGCAGTTAATTAATTTAAACAAGATAGCTGATACGTTTGATGAGACCCGATCTGACTCAGTGTCTCTGTGACTTTGTGACTTTGTTACCATGTGCCCTGCCGTGTAATGAGAGTTCAATGCGTTGAACCCTCGCGACCCCTGCACGACAATTATAATTGAATCACATGCACAAGTAGTTCACATGTTCAATCAATGTTCTCTCCTTATAAATATGACTCAATACGTTTTCTTTCTTTAGCAAGTGTCTAGTATTCATAATATTTACTGAAAAACACATAATTTATATTTTATTAGCTGTTACTGTTTCGTGCAGGTATATGAATCAATTTTGCGTTTAAACAAGTCAAATTTTATGTAAACTCAAAAAACTGACAAAAATATGGGTCAAAACTTACATACAATGGCACCACTTTAATCATACCACTAAAATAGGCATGTGATGAATAAACATGTAGCAAGAACAAGTAAATTTTTACTTATTCAATGCACAAGTTAATTTTTTTGACGTATATGTTAATTTCGGCATGTAAAAAACATATTAACATAGTTTTTGGCTGTATATATACAAAATTATGCAGTGACGAAAGAAGATAACGCAAATTATCTCAGATATTAAAAGAAAATTACATGCTTAACCTAAAATACGCCGTATTTAACACCCAGCGCCCTCTATACACAAACTATTACTATATAAATGCAACGCCTGTCAACTTTCGAATGAATATTCATTATTTTTGCTTTGTTTTTAATTTTATTGAATATCACACCATTACAGTGTTATTTAATGCTAATCACCAAATTAATATTAGTCATTGAATTGACTTATTGACCCTGTTGCACTTATATAGTCAACATACTCTCACTTTTTCTTTCACACAGAAACTCACCAAGTAACTGCATTGACTCGAATGACTCACAACCATTCTTCATCTTCGTGATTCACAGCCCAGTATTAAGATAGAATTAAACACAGTGAAAGAATTACAATTCTAACTTTTGCGTTCGTTTCGTGTTCAAACACTTGTGACCGTTAGCTGAAACGTGCAAGGTTCTTGCATTTCACGCATTGCACACCAAATGCTCTTCGCTGATTGGCTGAAGAATCGGGCGCGCCGATCACACCACTTCGTTACGGCAATCGGCATGCAGCGTTTTTTGAACGCACGCACGCTGTGTCTGTCGACGGTTTGTCGAACACACGCGAGCGTTGGCGAAGTAAAAAAAGTAAATGTGTACACACAACGCAACATCAACAGTGCTCGTATTCACCACCAGTGTTTAACATCAACACTGTTCAGGTAAACGGTTGCGATAAAAATAACCCGAAATATTCGTGAATCAAATCAAATTCAAATTGCGCATGCGCAGCATAGTATGCGCAATGTGAATAGCAGTGAACAAGAAGTAAGAGAAATGTTAAAAAGTATGTGCGTGTATATTATCAGAAAAAATATTCGAAAAAATGTAATTAGCATGTTTGAATGCGATAAACAAATACTTTAGATATTCACACGCTACGTCAAGCTAAATAAAACAATAACAAAACGCGTTTCAAGCAGTGTTGTTATTCGTCAGTCGAAATCGAACGATCGCGGACGAAAAAAACTCAAACTAAAATAGAAAATGTAAAACTAAATTACAGTGCGCTCTGTGACTTCAAACATAATTTAAAGATTTTAATTCAGTGCAACTTAAGTCATTTGACTTATACTTTAAGTAAGTAAAATTTATTTTAATTTTAATTTAAAAATGAGTTTAAATTCTAATAAAACTTCGCCGGTTGCGAACCGTTGTTGAGCTTGTGCGGATTTGAGACAGCAAACCAGCAGGCGAGCTATATTAGTCAACAAATTCCTGCATACCGGTTGGCGTGGCTACGATGGCTGTGTTTGCAGTCTCGCAGACGAAAACGAATCACGGTCAGTCTCAGACGTGCGAAACGTGCTTGCGCTGTCAAAAATTCGCGCGCGATAATTAATTTACCACGTGGTTTGCGTATTTTACACAATTTTAATAATGTTGACTTCTAAACAGCCTAGAATGTCTTCATAATAATTTTAAATTGTTGTAGTGTTTGTGCTATATATTTTTAAAACTATTTTATGTGATAACTAGTTATTAGTATGCATATGGCGCACATGTGATAACGGTTATTTTGTGTTTGCATTCAAAAAGCGATAAAAACACTTCGACAACGGATTTTTTGTAAGTAAATACCATAATACGTAAAATATTATATATATTAGATTACTCGTAACAATATAATATGTATTATATTAATATTAAAATGTTTTTTAAGTTTTTTTAGTTAGGAATATATTTATTTCAAACTGCGTCATTAGAATAACTCGTTTTTACTTTTTTATTGATTTGATTTATTGATTTGATGATGACAGTATTATTTCAGAGGGAAATATTAAATATTTGTTTGTTTAATATATTTAACTTTGATTTATCGTGAATTTTATTGATTTTACTCATAATTTTAAAAATAAAGTAAACTTATGGTACGATTTCCATAAAATATTTTACTACTGAATGACTATGAAATAATAAACTCAAAAACGGCGTCGGATATAAACAATTTACGTTAGTAATAAAAAGCAAAAATTCAAACATTGAATAGATATATTCGAAAGTTAAAAATAGCTTCGTCCTGTTTTCGGAAAATATTCCATTGTTATCACTAATGGCTGTGATAGATAGTGTTGTGATATGTAACGTGTGCGTTTTTAAACGTGCATTTTCAACTGTAAATGTATGCTGTAAACAATTTAATTGAAGAACTAAGAATAGAGGTCGTTAATCATTAGCAATAGATGCGCACAATATTTCTACTACTACTATTATTATATTACGTATGTGTAGGATGTAGTATGTAATGTTGTGTTGACATGTTTTGTTAGTGTGAGTGGAAGTGCAATTTCTACTTATTTAAATTCATGACATCTACGATCAACGATCTATGACCACCATCATGTCAATGCCGAATGCATTCATACTCTGAGTGAATAACGTCTTACATTTTTAGATTATGTCAAAGTATCAAGGTTTAAGTTGCAAAAAAATATAATGGTTTAATAATTAGGAGGAAATCGTGAATTTATTTACGTAATATGATCATTAATTTTTTATATAAAAAATTAGTTTTTTAAAAAGAGTTCAAAGTTTCAGAGTAAATTAATCGCAACCTCTATAATATAAAAATGAATCCCAAAATCTGTTGGTAAGCGCAAAACTCAAAAACGCCTAAATCAATTTGGCCAATTCTTTTTTAAAATGTTCGTTTAAGTCCAAGGATGGTTTTTACGGCTAGAAAAATTCGAATAATTACCGGGAAAACCCCAAAGACAGTATTTTTCTATAGGATAAAAGTTGACATTGAAATTCAATCATAGATATAGTTAAATAGTTGAATCCGAGATGGCGCGCTGAACTGCATTATTAGCTATTCTTTATATAATTAATTTCTTTAAAATAAAATTGCGAATCTTATTGATAGAATTGACACATACTATGTGTAGAACAAGAGGGTAACAATGAATTACATTTTTATTAAACACTACCAGGTACGAAGTCGCGGACTAAAGCTAGTTTTAAATCATTTTTATCCAAATCATTATTAGGTATTTGTATTTATAATTAGTGCTTTATCAAATTTATTAATTTAATATTATTAGCGTATTTAGAGATTGATGCACCTAGATTGAATGATTTATTAGTTCGTTAAACATACATAAATCTAATATGATTTAACAACCTATAGGAGTTAGAAATGTGTCATAAAATCATCGAATTACAATCATTTAATAATCTACCTCGTTAAATTTGATGCAACTGCAGAATGCAACTGTAATTTCACTATTAATAAAGAAAATTATTGGCTAAAGTATTAGAGTTCAAGTGAATAATAAAATCGAATTATTAATCATGATAATAGTTAATAATTGTAGGAATAACACCGATCATCAATAATCGGCATCATTAGCTTATCATTCAGTAATCAGTACTATTAATGAGATTATAATATGATGTGATGGTCATTAATTATGATAACAAAGAACAAAATAACACAACATGCAAAATAAACGATATCAATAGATATAAAATGATAGTTATGTATTTTAAAAAATTATTTGAATAATATTTTATCGTAAAAATATTTTCTATAATATTTTCTATAATATTTTATTTTTGGAATTATGATAAGATGTGGTCTGCGTCATCATAGTTTCATGTTTCATATTATAAACAATTCGGAGTAATGAGTGACGATAGGATGACTGATGGTTCTTATTACTTGTCAGTTATCTCGTGCATTTGGCGGAGATGACGAATGGAAACGGTCAATATTGCAGTCAGTCGGTGATGATCTGCTTTAGTGCGAAGTGCGAACTTCATAATAGTCATTATTGTATTAATAAATAATTGTGTCAACTGGATATTCACCATTCAGTAATAAAGAGTCACATTGGAAAGTGTATTCTTACAAAAATAAATAAATATATAAATATATTGAAAATTTAAATGAACAGATAAATTGATACGATTTTCTAAGTTTTTATTTTGTGCAATAAAAAAACGATAATTCAACATTCAGTAGTGAAAATTCACGTTAGAAGGTGTGTATTTACCAAAAATAATTAAATTTATAATATAAAAATGAATAGCAAAATCTGTTGGAAAGCGCATAACTCAACAACGCCAAGACCAATTAGGCCGATTCTTTTTTTGAAATGTTTGTTGAAGTCCAAGGATGGTTTTTACGGCGAGAAAAATTCAAATAATTGCCGGGAAAACCCTAAAGACAGCCCTTTTCTATAGGATAAAAGTTGGCATTGAGATTAAATCATAGTTATAGTTAATAGTTGAATCCGAGATGGCGCGTTGAAGTGTATTATTAGTAATTCTTTATATAATTAATTTCTTTGAAATAAAATTGCGAATCTTATTGATAGAATTGACACATAGGTACTATGTCTAGAACATGAGAATAAAAACGAATTACGTCGCGGGCAAATGCTAGTATATAAATATATTGTAACTTTAAATAACTTGATAACTAGATACGGTTATCGTAGTTTTTAATTTAATTTATTTCGTGTTATAAAAGAACTAAAATCAATATTTGCACTATGATAGCGATTGAGCAATCCAATAAACAAATAATCAGGACTCACGGTTTTGTAATTTCAGGACACAGCGAAGATAACTTCACGCATGTAAACATATCGAAATAAGTTAGATAAATGTTTTAGTTTCCCTCTTGAGGCGAGTATTTCTTTAATATACGAGAATATTAGTTCACCGGCATAACTCACTTAGTTAACACGTTAATATTAAAGTGAATTGAATAAAATATTAGTTTATCGAGGTGAGTAGTTTATTAAAAACATATTAATAATTTTATAACTAATAAAATCAAATTAGGAATGTTAAACGTCGTGAAAATTTAAATCTTTAATACAATTCTAGATATTTATAAACATATGCTGCTATTTAAAGCGTGACATAATTGTATCACGTTTCCGTCCACTCTTCCACTCTCATTTTCACATTCTATTTTAAGTAAACAATGCTAAGTAAAGAGGTTTATCAATAATTTTATTGTATGTAGTTAGTTAGATTTGTAATAATGTAGTATTGTAGAGATAGTACAGTAGTATTTTTAATTGTACTAAGTACTAAGTAGACATTGTAGTAATCTACGCACGCATAGATTTGTTTATGCTGGTTGTGCCGGTTTGTTTACTCTGAAAAAAAGTGCCTGAACTCAGTCTCGAAGGTCTCACAAGTCGCGACGCGACGCCGGCACGTTGCATGTCTAATTATAATCGTGTACGCACGTGCCTAGTACTTAACAAATATTTTCAAAATATTTACGAATGATTACAATCAGTTTTATAAAAAAAAACGAAAAAAAAATATTTTTTTGATTTTTACTTGTAAATAAACTAACTAGTTATATAATCTACTCAACCAATGAGTACTTATTTAGTACAGAATTTAATTCTGAATATATTTCCGAAAGATTTTTTGTTGTATTTTTTTTCGTTTTCGAGTAATTAACAAAAAACCAGCGAAAAACAAAGTTACCCAATACGTGTTATTGACGTCTCGGTCAAGACTTCTCTTCACACTCAGGTTGTATAGATGTGACCTTCAAACCTGTTTACTATTACAATTAT